ATAGATTAACAGGCTCTTATACTTATAAACCTTAATTTTCTAGTTTAGTAACTTAATATAAAACTCCAAGCATGTAGTCTTAATTATAGTTATGATAAATAGTTAGATTATAAGAAACTAATCCTTAACTTCTATAAGATTAAGACTATACTAGGATTCCTATATAATTATCTACTATAATTACTATTATATTTTCTATTACTAGGTAATTATAATATACTATAGCTACTATTTTTATAGCTAGTCTATTTATATATAGATAATAAATAGTAAAATCTATTACTATAACTAAATATAATCTTAGATACTCTTTTTATCTATATATACTTATAATAGCTAGTATAGGGTCTAGTATAGTATAGTATATATAATAATTATTTAGATCTTATTTCTATACTACTTTACTATATACTAGCTATACTAGGCTAGTAATTCTATAGTATCCCATATTACATGTATAGTACTACTTATAGGGTCCTCTAGCTTGAGATTAAGAGTAACTACTACTACAAGTAGGTCTAGAATATATATATTAGCTAAATACTAGGCCTAGTAGGTTATATATAACTATAAATTAGTATTCTAGAGCTTTCTAGCCTAGATAATCTAGGTAGCTATCTCCTACTTATTTACTACTGCCTATGCCTTAATCTCTGTGACCAGCTACTTATAGGTAGTAATTAGGATAGATTACTTCTTAGGCTAGGAATTATATAATAAGATATATACTAAATAGGAGTTTTTCTAGCTAGAGAATACTTATTACTAGGTAACTAGATAAAATAATTACTAAAGCTAGATCTATTATTTCTCTTATTTCTAGGCAAGAATCCCTCTAGGAAACTAGTACTAGGTCTAATTATATACTTCTTTCTAGTAATTTTATATAGATTTAATACTAGTAATAATATATATATATTACTCTAGTCCCTTACTATAACTATACTAGTATAATAGCCTGTTAATATAAATAAGAATAATAGGAACTAGTATATCTAGTATATAGGAAATATATAAATTATCTAGCTACTAGATAATCTTTATCTAGCTAGCTACTACTTAAGTAATAGGTTAATTATTCTATAGTTTAAGGAAATACTTCTTCTATAGATATATTATAACCTCCTTAGGATAAATATTATACTAGTATTAGTAATATATAATAATTTATAGTATAAGAATCTTCTTAAATAGCTGGTATTTTATAATAGAATATAAATAGATAGTAGCTAGGTATAGATAAAAATATAATATTAGATAGGAAAATTAATAAAAATACTTAAAGAAATTAAAGTTTAATTAGATTTTTTAACTAGATTAGTCCCTAATTATTTAATTTACTAGTATAACTAATCTATTACTACTATATATAGCTATTTAAGTCTATCCCCCACCAAATTTTTAATAGAATTCTAACTAACTTTAATATATTATTATATATTTACCTAATACCTATAGACTCTAAAACTTAGGAATCTATAATTTAAGTAGCTAATCTATATCTAGTAAAAATTTAAGCTATAGCATGCAACAGGTTCTACAGGCACCCTACTCCTAAAAATTAAGCCACCCTATGATAAGCTAACCAATCAGCGCTGGTCCTCCGCAAAACCCTAGAGCCACCCTAGTAGCCTTCCTCAACCCTTGTGGGATAGAGATAATGGGAACTAGCATGTCCAGCACACGGGGAATATATAAATTGTCCAGCTGCTGGATGATCCCCACCCAGCCAGCTACTGCCTGAGCAATGGGTTGACTATCCTGTGGCTTGAGGAAATACTTCTTCTACAGGTATATTGCAACCTCCTTAGGATGAACACTATACTAGTACTAGTAATATACAATAATTTATAGCATAAGGATCTTCTTAAATAACTAGTATTCTATAATAGAATATAGATAGGTAGTAGCTAGGTATAGATAAAAATATAATATTAAATAGGAAAACTAATAGAAATACTTAAAGAAATTAAAATTTAACTAGGCTTTTTAACTAGACTAGCCCCTGATTATTTAATTTACTAGTACAACTAATCTATTACTACTATATATAGCTATCTAAGTTTATCCCCTACCAAATCTTTAACAGAACCCTAACTAACTTTAATATACTACTATATATTTACCTGATACCTATAGGCTCTAAAACTTAGGAATCTATAATTTAAGTAGCTAATCTATATCTAATAAAAATTTAAGCTATAATATGCAATAGGTTCTACAGGTACCCTACTCCTGAAAATTAAGCTATCCTATGATAAGCTGACTAATCAGTGCTGGTCCTCCGCAAAACCCTAGAGCCACCCTAGTAGCCTTCCTCAACCCTTGTGGGATAGGGTTCTAACCCTACAGGCTAGTTTAGAAGTAATTCACCTAGTTGAGCCAATTCAACCTCTGGAATGCCTCTTACCGCCTAGACCTGGATTTTAATGCAAAAAATATGGTAATTTACGGCTTAGTCAGCGTGTAATTAGGGTTTATATTTAACAAGAACACCAAATTGAGGGTTATACTAGCCAGGATAATCAGGTAACTAACTACCTAGTTCAAACTCTTGATGGTGATTGATATATATTTTTAGTTATATTACCTGACTAACCTATTTATCCAAACCTGACCCTAAAGCAGTCACGCCCTGACTTGATTAGTCAGACACAATTTCAGGCATGCCCTAGGATTCAGGCATCTCCAGGCATTAATACAATCTAATTAGCTACCCAGCTCCAGGAGGGGTTTTTATCCAAAATTAATGCTATCCATGCTGAGTGAATTATTTTGGCTAGTGGGTCAACTTATGAAGTAAATAGCTTCCATCTCCACTCGCAATACCCTACCTTCCTAAATAGGAAGGATTCTGCTATTCTAGAACAATTATTTCTTCTAGAACCCTACTAGAATGAATTCCTTTCTGCTGTGACCCACTGCCTGCTTGTTTTAGATCAATTTTCTATGGCTAGGACCTCAATTCTAGCCCTAATAGCCTTGAATTCTTTCAGTTAAGACCAACTAGCTATTTGTCCAATAAGAAGGCTTCAAAATCCAGAAAGTTTAAAAAAATATAGCCTAGTTTTTCGGGTATTTATTATTTTTTTGATCCAGACCTTCCAGTATCAGTTACCTAGGGCAACTAACCCTAAATCTAATCTTTATAGATTAGATGGAGCAGATATGGACTTATTAAGCAACTTGACTGCCTTCCTGAATAAGATACTAGCACCTGAAAATATGGCAGAATTAACCCCTAACCTTAGGGCATGGGATGACTGCCTAGATAATTCTGATTCTGAGTCAGATGATGATCACTATCTACTAACCCTACTAGATAGTGAATAGAAGCCTAAATTCAGCAAGGTATTAGTTATGAAGGGGTTAGGATTAGTAGTTGAATTAGTTATGCAACTACTTAGGCAGCAAATAACTTAACCAACCCAAACCCTATTATATACCTTTTTCACCTATTTTTCACGTGACTATGCACGTGACTACTTCAAACTAGTTAGTCAGATTAGTTAGCTTTATTCTGCCATGATTAAATACCACCAATTCACCATTCTATATTGGTTTTATGCTGAAATTCTGCCAACTGACCCTGACTACTTTAAATATGAGATGTGCCCATTTTTTCAAGATCTTATGACTAATTACCTCACTGCCTAATTAGAGTCTCCATTAGGGCATGTCTTAGGGCTTCGGAATCTAGCCCTATATCTAGTTTGGATAGATTTAGCCCTAGGTGAAGTCAGCCTGGTTACCCTAGAAACCTTGCAATTTCAGGATATTATAGTTAGCAAAACAAACCTAACTGCCTTCCTAATTTAGTTAATTCAGGAACTTGCCCACCAGCTATCTAATGACCTGTTTTTAGGGTTTTTAAACTTTTTAAGCTTCTAAGCTAACCCCATAACCTTAGGGTTAGCCTTATAATATAAATCCTTTAGTAATACTACTAATAATTTTGGGATTCAGGCTAACCCTATGGGTTTAGGATTAGCTTAGTTTTTGGTCAAGCTAGCCCTAGCAGACCCTGAATAGCTGGATCTACTAAATTCTACTATTAATTATGCACGGGCCAACTAATATTTAGTAATCTCAGGTACTTTCTTGAAGACCCTATTAGTAGTATGTCACATGACTAGTGGGGCACCAGCACGTGGAACTAAAATTAATTAGGTAATCTAGTATAATTCAATTATTATTCCCTGAAATATATATCTAGATCTAGTAAGTTAATTATTCCTAATTTAGCTAGGCTATTCAAAAACCTTTTCAATAACTAGCCTAATTGCTGAGGTAATTAAGGTTTTACCCTAATCTCTTTCCTATTTTATACTAGTCTATTTACTAGTCATTTAACCTTTTGAAGAATTCCTGATACTATTAATTAACTAACAACTGCCTCCTAATGATTATTTACTATTTTTAGATTGGAAATCTTCTTATCTAATCTTATTCTAAACCTTATCTAGAACCCTAGGATTGCTAAGTTATTAGTTACTAGGGCAATGAATTATAATTAGTCCCTGGAGATACCTAACTAAGGTATTTATTTATCATAGTCTAAAAATAGATCCCCTAGCCTATTTTGGTAGTAAAGAGGATAAATTTGACCTAGAGACCTTAGGTACTAAATAAATACATTACTTAAGGTCACGTGGTTAGCTAACCTATGGCTGTATGGAAACCAGCTTCCTAGGGATAGCCCTAAATACCTAAAATATACTAGTGGATTTTAGTTAGTATTAGCATGCCTATTTAGGCCTAGCGCCTGATCAGCTAATCTTAGGGTCCTTATTTTACCCTAGATCTAGCTTCCAATCCTAACTATAACCCTAATTGTAACCCTAATTACAACCCCAACCAGATATCCAAATTCCAATACCTTTAGCAGAACCCCTGGTCAAGTTTAGGGTTACTAGGCAGTCAGATCATGAACTACCCTAAAACCCTATTTCTATTAGGGAATTCCATGAATTCATGTTATTATATAGTTCAAATTTCATGCCTAGCCTAGATAGGCAGGAATCAGGTGATGAATTTGATGAATTCCAGCTATCTAGGAAGGATTCACTACCTAACCCTGACTGCCTGCCTATTCTATCCCTAGGAGTTTTAGATAGGGTCCTGCAGGATTTCTTCCAGGATAATTCTGCTACTTTTTAGTCACCTAAGCAACAGGAGGCCTTTCATCTAATTATAACTAAGCCATTATATTGCTTTATTATTCTACCTACTGCTGCTGGTAAAACAACACTATTCCTAATTAGGGCTAGCTTGGCAACTAGTTATACTACCATTATCATTTTACTACTAATATCACTAAAATTGGACCTCCAAACCAAAGCAACTACCTTAGGCCTCCAACCAATCCTATAGGATATGTTATATGATATGATATTATTAAACCTGGTTCTTATTCAAATTGAGCATGTGGTTGACCCCAAATTCCTAGGGCAGGTTCAAACCCTAATCTAATAACATAAATTAGATCAAATTATTTAGGATGAATATTATATGATCCCATTAAATTAGTATTTTCATCCAATTATACATAGGGTTAAGCAGGTTATACAGTTACTAGTTACTATAGTATTCAGTACTGCCACCCTATCTAGCCCTATTCGGCAGGCGGTGATGGATATGTTTAAATTACATTAATTTTTTAGGGTTATTCCAAGCATCTAGGATAACCTAACCCTAAAAAATATAGAATATAGGGTTATTGAAATTCCAAAAACCTTAAATCCTACTAAAACCCCTGGTTTTCTGCTGGACTTTATTTACTGCTTTAAAGTAACCTGCTATGACTAGTTGCCTCAGGCAGCTACTATTATTATTTTCTTTCTATCTAAAAGTAGCCTGAGGCAGTTTTATAAGGCATTTAGGGTTAAAATTCCAGCCCTAGCTTGTTTCTATGGGGATATGTCAGATGCAATAAAGCTGGCAGAATTGGCTAAATTCAAAAGCAGTAAAGCATGGATCCTACTAGCAACCCCTAGAGTAGGGGCTGGATTTGACTTTAATTATATAGATCTAATTATTCACTACTAGGGGTCATATTCATTCTTGGATTTTATGTAAGAATCTGGGCGGGCTGGGCGGAATCCTAGGTGGTTAGCATGGTCATACTGCCTAGTTCAGTTATATAACAGGCAGAATCAAGTGAATGACTTAGCTAACTACCTGGAGTTTTGGAAATATTTAAATAAGTAAATATATTGCTAGCAGCCAATCTCTAGGAACTTTGCCCTCAGCCCTATTGAGTCATGTAATCCTAGCTGGGCCCAATATGATCTATATCAGTTATGTGATAGCCAGTCTAACCCTATTTGGCAGGCGGTCAGGCAATATTATCAAACAGCTGCCCAGCAAATTGAATTCCTAGGAAGGGTGGTTAAATTATAGCAGGAAAGTTACTATCTAGTTTGCTTTTTAAAATAGGATAGTAAGTTTTTATTTCTTTATTTATTTCTTTCCTAATTAGGAAGTTTATTTACTAATTTAAACTTTAGGATCTAAATTACTAGATCCTTCTATATCTACTAGGATTTTTGCCCATTTATTTAAAAATTGCCCTGAAAATACTACTTGGGTAATTCAACTTGAGTAATTTAGGGCTTCTTTGGGTAACCTTATTCCAGATACATGCTATTTTAGGTGTTTTCTACCTACTAAGGTTTGTAAGGGTCCTAATGAAAGTAATAAAGGTCTTACATGCCTAGTACCTGACCTAGTTGTATTATTATAGATCCTAACAAAGCAGAATTTGGATCAAATTCATGCAAACCCTACTAAATATTGGAGGGTTGAAATTCTGCCTGAAAATCTAGGCAACCAGACCTTCCTAAAATGGAAATAGGATCTAGATACTAAAATTACTAAAGGAGTCCTTTATTTCTACTACTTTTTTCTAAATATATCTAAATTATAGCTAAAAATTATACAGGGCCCTAATATAGTTTAGATTTATTTTATTTATTTTATTTATTTTATTTATTTTATTTATTTTATTTATTTTATTTTATTTATTTTATTTATTTTATTTATTTTATTTATTTTATTTATTTTATTTATTTTATTTATTTTATTTATTTTATTTATTTTATTTATTTTATTTATTTTATTTATTTTATTTTATATTTCTATACTAGCTACTATTGATATTTTAATTTTAAAAAATGTGGCCTGAAAAATAAGGCATTAATAGTTGCTGCCTAGTAAATAAGGCACCTATATGGTTGCCTGACCCATCTAGTTAACCCTAGGGTATTAGGGCTACCTAAATAGGTCTAGACTACCCGCAGCTTGGCATACCCCATCAAAAAAAACCTGTTTTTTTCTTTTGACTTTCTACCTTCCTAATTAGGGAATTTTTGATTTTTTTTAAATATTATAAAATTCTACTTCATTAGCTATCTAGATATCTAATTTTTATTAAAAAAGACCTAGAATTCATGATTTTAGGGGGGGGTATCGTATCAAACCCAATACCCCCCCCCTAGAAACCCTAAATTTTTGCAGAGTACCCCCCCCGGTATCGTGACAGAATAGTAGTAGAATTCATGATTTTAGGGGGGGGTATCGTATCAAACCCAATACCCCCCCCTAGAAACCCTAAATTTTTGCAGAGTACCCCCCCCGGTATCGTGACAGAATAGTAGTAGAGTCCCACTAGGCCGAATAGGTGCTAGGGCTGGGTTGAGTCCCGCTAGACCTGAATAGGTGCTAGGGCTGGGTTGAATCCCGCTAGACCTGGTTGCGCTACCAGATTTGAACCACGCCTACCTGCTCACAGCCCTTAGCTTAGCCTAGCTGGCTTAGGGCTGGGGGTCCCTACTGAATATATGCTAGTTGGCTTGCGGTCAAGCCTTATCTCAAGGAAGGAGATAGTTGTCACGGCGTGTACTAGGTGCACTGGTGCCAAGGCAATGATTACTAGGGTATATAAGGTGGGATTCGGGCAGATCAGACATCAGGTCTGATCATAGTGACCTTTTGGTCCAATGGTATAGTATGTTGCCTGAATCACATGCTCTTACACTGCCCCCTGACAAATCTTCTTAATTATATTAATGTCACGGCGACCACGTGACATGCAACCACATGCCGAACCACATGCCGAACCACATACCTAGTAACTGAGGGTAATTAGGAGAATAGCAACATTCAAGTTACTTGCACTGCGCTAGTAACTTGACTAGGTAATATAAATAGTAATATAATAACCTCTAAAGTACTAAGAGGCAAGTACTTTATTTTATTACTTTTAATATCTTCTTATTATTCTTATATTCCATATAGCTTTACTTCCTTTACTAATACTACCCATACTCAAGTACCTTACTAGTAAAATACTTATAATTTAAAGTACTTCCTTAATTAAGTAAAGTAATATAATAAGTATAAGAAGAACTATTTATTCCTCTTCCTAAGAAATAATAAATCTAAACTTTATAGAATCTATAATTATAGTTCTAGAAACTATTATTAAGGAAGGTTTAATAGTACTAGTAACTTTCTAGTACTAACTTATTAAGTTAATAGAAGATAATAAGCTATAGTACATGACCTAATACATGGTATAAGCTATGTAGATAAGTAGGAAGAAGGTGCCCGAACTTAAGTTCTTTAAGGTATAAAACCTAAAGGAACTTAGTATCTTCCTGGAAGACCTTTAAGATTACTTTAGGTTATAAGGGAAACTTTATAAGAGTAATATAGCTAAGGTCTACTATATTATAGATTGCCTAAAAGATAATATAAAGCAGGTATAGTACTCTAAGTATAAAGTAAATCTTAAAGAACTTACCTATATAGAGTTTACTAAATTCCTATAGAATTTTCTAGAATTAGAAAGAGATTATAGGTAAATAATAGCTTACTAGCTCCTATATATAAGATAAGGATTATAATAGAGTATATAAACTCTAATAACCTAGATAGAGGAATTTATTCTAATAATTAAAGCTAATTTTAAAGAATTTCTCTACTAGCTAGCTATTTAAATAGCCTAGCCTGAATTATATAAGGAAATCTAGTAGGATATAATAATATTATAAAGTCTAGCTAAAGTTACTAAACTAGGGGCAAGGTATAAGAAATTTTAAAAATAAGAGAAATAGGAAAAGCTAAATAGAGTATAATTAAACTAACTTCTAGAGTCTTATATATTAAAGGATAACTTAAGAAAGAAAAAAAAAAATAATAATAAAGTAATAAATTCCTAACTAAATAAATTCTAGTAGAAAGAATTAAAGAAGGAGTAGTAAAACTACTAGAATTAATAAAAGGAAGGCTAATACTACTAGTATAATTAAACTAATTATATTATAAGGAAATGCTCCTAGTATAAAGAAGGTATTAAGGGGGCAGGAGAATTAAAGGACTAGGATTAATAATAATTAAATATTCTAGAATTTCTAGTACTCTAATAGAATAAAGAAGTATTAATAGAACTTTTCCTAGCTACTATAGTTATCTTAATAAGTAAGAAATAGATTATAATAAGGGCGCTTATAAATACTAGAGTAAATAAGGACTTTATTTCTTATTACTTTTTAGCTAAAGAAGGAATAAATCTTAATAAGATAAAGATAGAGTAACTTATATATTTTATTAATAGCTTAATAATACTATACTATATAAGATTTTAAGTAAAGAGCTAAATTATAGATAGCCTTAATAAAATTAGAGAATTTAATATAGAATATTATATAATAAATTTAGAAGAAAAAAAATATTAATTAATCTTAGGGTATAGCTAGCTAAGCCTGATTAATTTTAATATTTTCTTAGTAGTAAATACCTAGTACTACTAAGGAAAAAAGTTAAAGATTAAAATTAAATTATCTAAGTAATTTAAAAGTATAATAAGATAAGAATTTACTATACTAGTCTTAAGCTAATTATATAATAATAGTAATATAATAGGGGCTCTTTTTAAATATTATAAAGAATAGAAATTAGTATTCTTAGAGAAAGAAATAGAGGTATTCTTCTTTAAAAAAGCTAGTTATAATATATTATTAGTTACTAGTATAGTACTATTAATAGGCTAGCTATATAGTATATTAAAGATAGAGTTAGTAATCTTAAGGGAGTATATTAATTAAATATTAGAAAAAGAATAGATCTAGCCCTTAATAAGTATAGTAGGTATGCTAGTACTTTTTATATAAAAGGCTAATAGGTTACTATAACTTTATATAGATTATAGGGGCCTGAATATAATTATTATTAAGAACTAATATTCCCTCCTATAAATTAATAAACTAATAGACTAACTAGTCAGAGCTAAATAATTTATTAAACTAGATTTATAAGATACCTACTACTAGATTTATATTTATTAGGATAATAAGTAGAAGATAGTA